GTACTATGTAAATGAATGCTAAACAGGTTAAACCAATAAACAATTAATTAATGTTGGTACCAAACAGGTGGCGCTCATTGAGCTGACTATCCCCTGGGAAGAAAGGATGGAGGAGGCCTATGAGCGCAAGCTCAATAAATACCAAGCCCTCATCCTAGAGACCCAGCTAAATGGATGGAAGACCTGGAATCTCCCAGTGGAGGTGGGCTGCAGAGGCTTTGCTGGTCGGTCGCTTTGGAGAGCCCTTGGACTGCTGGGTATTGAAGGGCTGGCCAGGAAGCGGCTTGTAGCCAACACCACCAAGCGGGCGGAGGAGGCATCTCGCTGGATTTGGATGCAGCGGGAGGTGCGGTGGCAGAGCTGTAGCACTGAGTGAGAAGAGAACTGAAGACAGAGTTGGGTGGCATTCAGTGGGGGTGGGTCCAGGACGCTGGACCTGCCGTTGGGCCCCTCCGAGGTGTCATGGGCTTAAATCAACGAAACACCAGTGAAGGGGGGTGCCCATTTGATAACCTGCTGAAGCTACCCAACTCCTATTCTAGTCACTGAGGATTAGGGGTGCCTTGAGGGGAGGAGACAAAGAGAGAGAGCGATGCCACTGGCCCACAGATGGTGCTGGGGCAAGTACCTGTAAAGGTGGGCCGGTTGCGATATCATATTTTGCATATATAATCATTTTTTTCATCTTCGATTATTTCGATTGGGTATGAAAGAAAATCAACAAGTCCCCAAACAGCAATCCTGTTGTGGGGCAGAGAGCCAGGAGGCCTACCCCAGGGACACAGCCACAGGTGTGTCCACTTAACGACTCGCCAATTCAGCACACCTGTGGCCAGTTACCTGGGGAGGCAGGACGCTGAGACCTTCAGTCACCGCTCTGACGTACAACCTGGATGTAACTTCGAGCCCAGTTCCTAAGTCTGAATTCTGGATTTGTGTCTTTGACACTGCGTGCAGTGATTAACTGTTCTTGCCTGATTCTTTGTCCAAGGAACTACCACAGTGCGCCTTCCATGGCTCCCTGCTCCCAGGCTCCCCGCGTCCAGCCATCCCTGCCATTCGGGCCTCCTGCGTTTTGTTTTGTTAATTTCCTTCCCTACATCTGGGAGAATAAACGGTGGCGTGCCACCTCAAGAGACTGCCTTACCTTCCCTCCTTGTGTTTTTCGCTACAGGGGTTCGGTTCTCGTGAAGCCCTAACAAACCCCAACATAAACAATGATAAAATGACAATAACGCAGGGAAATAAAGTAATAAGAAAAAGTGATGAAATATAAAAATAATAGATTTGAGAAAAGTACAAGAATAAAAGAGGGTAAGTAAAGTCTTGCAGACGTGAAACTTTAAGGTTGCCCACAGCCTTTAGAATACATAAAGGAAAGGCTGTGAAAAAGTAGTGTTTATTTTATAAAAGAAATTGTAAGCAAACGTGTTGTGTTCAATTTGCAGAAATGTGCTGTTATGAGTAAGTTTCAATGACATTATTTTTGGGAAAAAAGTCGTATACACTGAAAAAACTGTGATCAGGATTAATTCATATTTACTAAATAAATAAGAGCAAACTATACATAATAAAAAAGACTTTGTGCAGTTTGGAATCTCACTGAGCTGAATTAACCAAATTCGATTACTTTTTTAATTGTATTTTACTCTGTATTTATTTAAATAAAATCAGCAGAAAAACAATAAGTAGAATTTATTTATTTTCATTGGTAAAGTCAAAAGTGCAGAAAATTGATAAATTTTACTCATTGGGAGGCCTTAATTTTTCCCGCCCAAGGCATTTTCATCACAGGAACATCGAGTCTTCTTGGCATTTCATGGACTACCGTTTGCTTAAAGGTAAGACATGTTTTAATTGTTCTTAGTTAAACAACTGTCTGTAGCAGTTAAACATTGTCTTAAGTTACTGCAAATTACCAAACATGGCAACTTTACTGTACAGCAAGTCAATTAAGTTATAGTGTGAAGGATTCGAAGTCAGTCTACGTCGCCTTTGATTTGACTAAATGCATTGCAATGATTGAAAAAGTATAGTCTCAATGTCACAATTTAATGTGACTAACGTAATACCGTTATATAGTGGCCGTAGAATACAAGGCACTCTTTCATTTAATTTAGTTTTTTGGCCTCAGCCCAAGCTCCCCCTCCTCCACCTTAACAAGCTAGCTAGCATGTTTGGACACCATAATGGCGGAACAGACGTTGTTTTCAACGGTGAGAAGGCTAATCGACTTAGGAGTTTCCTTTAAAGTTACTGCATTTAGTTTTTACAATTAAAATGTACTCAAGTAACATATTTACTCAAGTAGCATGTTAAAAGCAGATTTCTAATCAGTTTTTATAACGTTACACATTTCGGAAGAAAAATCAGCCGTTTTGCATAGTTACATTTTGAAACAAAGTGCGCTGTTTCTTTTTTCTTCTGTTAATTTGGCGTTATTTTCATCGAACGTCTGTTATTGTGTTTTGAGCACAATGGCTGGTGTTTTGCTAAACCAAAGTTCACCGGCTCTCACTGGGGCTCTCCATTAACGTTACGTTAGTTACATTCACATGGCACAAACGGCTTCGTCGTTTTTTTCCTGTTTTCTCGGAAAACGTTAAGCTTTCAAACTGTGGTTGCAGCTCACACTGACAGATAAACAGTTACAGTGAGATGCGTCTGTGAATGTTGGGTTGAAATCAGTACGTAGCTTCGTATTGACTCTGATCTGCCACAGAGAGAGTGAGAGAAATGTTTTGTTGGTCCGTTTTGGGCATCTTTGATTTTAATATTTATTGTTTGATTTTAAGGTAATATGCACATCAACAAATGCCAGTTTCATATTTTTGTCTAACATCTTAAAACGATAGTTCATTTTTTGAAGTGGGATTGGATGAGATATTCATCCATAGTTGGTATATTAAAGAGCTGGATGATTTTGAAAAAAACACTTAATTGTGATGATCTTTTCAGTGACATTACAGTTGCGAAATGATTAGCAATTTCTGAGGGAAATATAATTTTGTATAATTGTTTTCTTATTTCAATTGAAAAAATTAAAATGATTATGGCGCGATTCTTGCAGGGATGTGTAACGGATGTTTTTTTAAGTCTATAGATTATGATATGTAGACCAGGACCTCTTTGCAGAAGAACATCATTTAAAATATTTTTTTTAAGATTTAAGAAATTTGAGAAATATTGTACCTCCTGTGATTTGAAAATCGCAATAGGCTGTATTGCAATTTTGATCAAATTTTGATTAATTGTTCAGCCCTGGCACATTATTTAATTACTAGATCTATTAGTGATGTAGGCTACTAGTTATACACTAATTTAAAAACACCTTTTTTCTTATTATCTTAGGTTCTGGCCTATGGGGTGGCAGTGCAAGATCTGCAAGTCTTTGTCTGCAACAAAGGGGAATCTACTAAAACATTACAGACTACAACACGCAACATTTGAACTTGGGCAAACCCAGCCGTGTCTATATGACAGTTGCCCTTGCACATTTAAAACACAGGGTGCCCTTCGCACACATTTGTCCAGGTATCATACAGCTCATGTCAGTATACAGCCAGGAATCATCTCTGCTTTTAAGTGTTTAGTTTGCAGTGCTAGTTGTTCTACAGAGAAAGACTACTTTCAGCATATAGGAAATCACCTGAAGAGCCACAAAACTGTCTTTTGTGTATTTGAAGGATGCAGCTTTCGGACAAATATATACAATACATTTTTGAAACACAAAAGTAGAACACACAAATCTTATTCTTCGAGCGATTTTAAGCAAGGTGTGTATGAGAGTCACCACGATCAGATTGTTGACCATTCTGATTCATTAGAAGCCAGTGATAATGAGGGCACAAGTTTAGATTGTGATAAGGAAAGTGCTTCATACTTGATTCTTCAAAGAATCGGTTTTCTTCTGCTGAAGCTAGAAAGTGTCTATAATGCCTCAGTGAAGTGCATTGATGCCTTGGTTGAAGACCTTCAGTTCATTTCATCTTCAGCATCTGTTGAAGTTGTTAGAGATATACTTGATTCAACATTGAAGTTAAATAAGAGCATTGTTGACCAGGCCATCATAACAGACTTGGCAGAACAGTTGTGCAACTTCCATCCCATTGGTACAGCACTTGCTGTAGGTGGTCCACTTGGTTCAGCTTTTAAGAGAAGAAGGTATTTTAAGGAGCATTTTCAGTGGGTTGATCCTGTTGAATATATTCTTGATTCCCAAAAGAACAAGACCTTTCAATATGTACCTATTCTCGAAACTTTGCAGAAGGTTTTGAAGAATAAACACATTGCAGAGGGAATCTCATCCAGACATTTAAACAGTACTGGATATATTAAGTCAACTTTTGATGGCGAATTTTTCAAGCAAAATGCCTTCTATGCTGGAGAAGAGACAAAACTCTCTGTAATCCTTTATGTCGATGACTTTGAGGTGTGCAACCCACTAGGAACTTAAAAAAAAAAACACAAAATAACAGCCGTTTATTGGATTTTGGCAAATGTACCTTTCCAGTTGCAGTCTGCATTAACGTCAATACATCTAGCTTTACTTTGCAAAGCTGTTGATGTCAAGCAGTTTGAATACAAAGCAGTTTTGGAACCCCTCTTGAAAGATCTTGCCACTCTAGAACAGGACGGGATTTTCATTTCCAGTGTTGGAAAAAGAGTTAAAGGAACTGTACACTGTGTTGTAGCCGATAATCTCGGTGCACATTCAATTAGTGGACTAGTTGAAAGTTTCACGGGGCCGTACATCTGTAGATTTTGTCTTGGAGATTCTTCAGAGTACCAGACACATGAAGTGCGGACTGGAGTGTTTCCACCTCGGACAGAAAAGGACCATAGTTTGCATGTGCAAACTGTGAGAGAAAATCCAAATTTAACCCATTGCTTTGGCGTTAAGCGGTCGTGTCCATTGACTGATAAACTGAATCACTTTAATTTTGTGTCTGGGTATCCACCAGATGCATTACATGACCTTTTTGAAGGAATAGTCCCAAGAGAACTAGCATTGTGTTTTCAGACTTTCACAAAGAAGAAGTACTTTAATTTGACTGAACTCAACGAGTTAATCAGACGTTTTCCCTATAAGGGCTCAGACAAAGCCAACAGCCCTCAAGCAGTCCCTCAAAACTACATTCGTCGCAGAACGATAGGAGGAAATGCCTATGAAAATTGGGCCCTAGTACAGTTGTTGCCAGTCATTGTTGGTTCACGGGTACCTGAGGATGATGCTGCCTGGCAGGTTCTTATGACTTTAAAAGACATAGTTGAATTGGTGGTTGCCCCTGTTCATACACTTGAAACTATTGCATACCTTGAGTTTAAAATATCTGAGCATCGTGACAGATTCTTAGCAGTTTTTCCTGAAGAGACACTGACACCCAAACACCATTATTTAGAACATTACCCTGCACTGATTGCAGAGTATGGGCCTCTGGTTGGTGTATGGACAATGCGCTTTGAAGCGAAACACAGCTTTTTCCAGCAAGTTGTGAGGCACACAAAGAACTTCAAAAATATATTGGTGACCCTTGCTACAAAACATCAGATGATGATGGCATGCCATTTACATACAGATGTTGGAAAACAGCCATTGTGTGTCACAAAAATATCTGTGGTGCCTTTAGATGTGCTGCATTCAGACATACAGGAAGCTTTAAGAGAAACATCATCGCTTCTGTCTTCCGTGCGGTTAGCTAACACTGTCACCTGCTATGGAACAAAGTACACTGTTGGGATGATCTTGCCGTATGGCTCTACTGGGGGACTTCCTGACTTTGCTGAGATTATTCAGATAGCCATTTTAAACAACCGTGCACATTTTATTGTAAAGTTACTAGATGCATGGTATGAAGAGCATCTTAGATCTTTTCAACTAGAGAACACTGGCAAAATGGCTCTTGTTGAGCAGCAGAAACTTGGTGATGTGTACCCCTTGGCTGCATACAGTGTGGGAGGAAAACGCTTGGTCACACTCAAACATCACATCTGTTATTTGTTTTAAGGTAATTTTTATAAATTATGATAACCTTTACATCTCATAACATCTGTTTTTAAACCCATTGTTCTGGAAATATAACAACAGTATCCTTTTTTGTTGACATTTTAGCAATTTAATAATCATAATTATGGCACACACATTTAATGTTATGATTATAAGTGTGGTGTTTCACTTAAATAAGTACAGATTTTATTTATACATTTTTTTATACAGGTTTTTTTTCATGTACTGTATAAGAATATATTTAACTTTTGTCTATTCTTGTCAGGATGGCAGAGATGGAGGCAAAACTCAGAGTAATAATTGACGACCAAATTGAGAAGTTGGTCCTTCCATCTGGAATCCCGCCCACTGTGGAGGAGCTGCATAATATTGTGAAGGAGACCTTTGGGATTTCTACTGAGTTCAGTCTTCAGTATTTTGACTTGGAATTTGAAGATTATTTTACTCTTCACAACAGTGATTTTATCAAACACAAAGGCACCATAAAGGTTGTTCACACTTCTCCTATTCTTCTGAACTTGTATGCAGCTCATGAAAGTTCGGACAGTTCCTTTGTTCAACAGTCCACTGACTGTGACTCTGCATCGTTTGAAGAGTCAACTGCATCAAATGCAGAGTCATCTGCTGGAACATCTTCTTCACAGGACACCATTATCCTGTCTGGGCGCAGTACCACAGAACGCTGTCAGCCATGGCCAAAGCAGTTCCCCATTCCACAGTTTGCATACGAAACTGAGATGTACCTTGAAAGAGGCAATGAGGACTACAAGAAGAATGGAACACTTCTCACTACCTCTAAGATCAAGGGAGACATACTTGAGAAACTGGCTGAAACTGTATATACTTATACAGCCTATCCATCAGGTTCACAGATAAGTGATGTTGCTGAGGCACTTGTCAATAAATATCCTTGTCTTAAGGAACCCGGTTCTTTTGCAGGTTACTATGGCTGGCAGCAAAGCCTTAAATACAAGATGTCAAATTATCGCACCAAACTCAGAGGCTACGGTGTTCCTGAGGTGTTATGCAATGCACTAAAACGCAAGACCCATGCGGACAAGAAGTCTGCAAATAATGTAAAAAAGCCTTGAAAAGCAGAGGTAAACTTTCTTCCTCCTTACCCGGCTGGAGAGGATGAAGAAAGTCAAGAACAAGAGAGGATTCAGTTGCTTACTGAAGTAAAGAAAAAGAACAACAACGCATTGATAAAAGAAAAAATGGCCAAAACATTTGCACACAGAAGAAACGAAATCATCAACCAATCACCCAGTATAGAGGACATCAAAGCCAGATGGCCTGCTCTATTTGAGACATCTCACGTGAGTTATGAGTGCATGCTAATCAGAAATATTCCTAGTCAATGTGAAGGATTGCATTTGTGGTTCTGCATTTAGCTATTTCATACAAAATGTGTTACGTTACTGTCATCTATTTTATAGATCAAATTTGATCCATCTTCTTGCTTTTGAAAAATGTCGTAAGAACAGTATGTATGTTTGTAATATTCGAGGCTTTAAAACTGGTTTCATGATTTGTCCTTCAGATCCAGGATGAGTTTCACAGAATCACTATGGTGCATCTTGAATCAAAGTTCATGTCCAAACTGGATGAATATACTCCTCGACTTATGAACCTCTTCCACTCCAAGGGTGGAAGCATGGGATTGAGACTGCTGGCTATCCTACTCAAGGTATCCTTCATTGAGCATTATGGTTGCTAATATTTTATTCTCAAAATTTTGTGTTTAAACTTCTGGAATATCATTACTTAAATTTGCATGAGAATTTGTTTTATTACACTGGTCCCCAAGATGGCACAGGAAGGATCCTTGAGCTTATTAACAGTAATATAAACCACCTGGTGTTTATTTTTTTCATTTCAGACTCCAAGCAATCCTGACATCAACATGACCAGAGATGTTATCATTCGATGTTTGATGCTGTACCTTGGGGAATCTACAGATCAACTCTTAAAAGAGTACGATGTAAGTTGAAGTAGATGTTAAAATACAAAGTAGGTGATTTCTCTCATCTCTTCTACTTGGTATTCGTTGGAAAGTCATACCACTAAATAGTCATAACTGTATTTCTCCCAGTAGTTCTTGGCGAGCTATATCATTGTCCTCTGTTAAGTGTGTTTGAATTTTTATTTTCCATTAGGAATTTTTAAGTGCTAGTGCAGAATGCTATCTCAATTTGATTTCAACAACTGGCATAATTTAAAACTTGTCAGTAATTTATGTAATTTTTTTCCTAAGAATGCTTTACCTAACCATAACTTGATTTTTTTGGCCTTTTTTCTGTAAAAATACCTTTTTACAGAAAAACTGAGGCAATGCAGAATAAGATATTCATCAAGACAGTGCCAGGAAGAAATAATAGTGTAATGGATTGATTTAATTTCAGAAACTTCTTTTAGAAATATTTGTAACTGTTCAGCTCATCATTGTATAATTGATTATTTTATAGTAATATAATATATTATTATGATTGATTTATATATATATATATTTTTTTCATTTTTAAATTACGTGCGTTTTTTTTTTTAGTGTTATCTCAGATTTGTCTAAAACATTGACATAAATAGAGTGCATTACAAGCAACGGCTGACAAACTCCAGATTTTCTTGTCCAAACAGTTGTAAGCAATTTTGGAAATGGAACCTTCTCCTTTGGTTATACTGTCTGATATGCACAATGTTCTTGCTATTACAGGATGCTGATGCAGAGAGTGTGTCACAGGACCTTGCTGTTCAAAGCCTAAAGATCTACAACATCAAAGCTAACACGTCAGAGGAGCCAGACATCGGTATCGTGGTGGATGGCGTGAAAATTCTAACTGCTCTGGGTAACTTTCCAAGGGCTTGTTCCCTGCTTGTTGGGTTGGCGTATGCTGTGAATCTTGCCTATCCAAATAAGCTCAGATACACATTTGAAGTGTTTCAGAAACTTCTCCTCGGGCTGGATAGTTCAAAGCTCTCCCCAAAAGTGAACAGCCTCAGGAATAAACTACTGGCTTAAGAAAACGGACCCTTGCTAAACAATAGGGAATAGACAAGTCACTGTGAAAACCAACCTGCAAAACTTTGTGAAATGCTCTGTGAAGTTAGTTAAAATTAAGATCATTTTCAGTTCAGTGGATTTCTGCATGTGTATTTTTTCTTGCAATACATTACAGTTAACCACCCTTTCTAAGGACTGACCCCTTGTTCTCATATGTGGTAGTGCGGCATGTTATATGGCTTTGGATCTGTTCAGGTCTGTCACATGAACCCTTGTCCCTTTTATACAGCATAGAGCATCCACTATTGCCTTTTTGGAGAGTCCATGCAGGCTTCACCACTGAAGGGTGATGATCTGCAGACTGCAAAACTTTGTTGTGTTTCATTTGCACTTTATATAATATGTTTTCGTTCAGTTCTGTCTTTCAACTTATTTTTCGAAAAGGAAAGTAAGTGTCACGGAGCTAAGGGCCCCAACACAGTGACAAGATGTAGCATAAACATACAAAAAAAAGAAAATTGAAGTTTTTATGCCTCAAAGGTCTCACCCATCTCTCACATCTTGTCATGTTATCCCCAGGTAAGTTTTATGTGCATACTTGTTGTGTGCTCTGTATGCCTCTTAAACATAAAGGGAACTCTTATGTGATTGATAAATTGTTGAAGCAAGCTTAACTGAGTCCAAGTTGATTGTTGTTGATGTGACGGTTCTAAAAAATCATGTTAACTATACTTTGGGCAGAGTGGCACTATGTTTTTGACTTGATGCTGATATATATTGCCCCTTCTCTGTTTTATTGTTGTATTTTGGAATTTTGCACTTTTTGGGTGCTGGATAAACACGTTTTATAAAGTTGCACAAATAAATGCTGCTGCTGTTTTATGCATTGTAATGTGTTGTTTTTTGATGCCACTCAAGTTTGGTCAGGATATTGTGTAAATTAGACACAGAAAAAGTATGGCAACAAAGTGACATTCAATATTATTGAATAGATTTAAAGTCCTATGATAGAAATAAAAACTTAAATTTTATCAATTATTTTAGTTACAGATAAATAAGAACAACAGTGTTAATGTGTTGAATTAAGCAATAATGTGCTACAATATGAGTTGATATCATTTATATTATTTACTTAATCCAAATAATTTTTATGCTGATGTTTAGTAAATCTAAATCAATTTCACCCATTTAATTAATAAATATAAGTTAATTTCACCTAGATTATCAGTAGATAGGAATCAATTTCCCCCAGATATTTAGTAAATC